AAGCAGGAAAAAAATATAATACCAACATATCTGATGTTATCCAACGTCATATTTTGAAGCCAGTATCATATTTTATTGGGATTACTTTGGAAAAGTTTTCTTCCACATTTTTGTATAACTGTATTTTAACTCAGTGTATAATGCAAATAAGCAAATTATTTATTTCTTTTAAAATGTATGGAAAATATAATTACTGACTATAATACTAAAATGTAAAGACTTGAAGACAGATGTTTCAGTTTAATAATAAAATTCCTTTTTAATTTTTTGTCCTCCAACACAGAAATAGAGAATATTTCTTAGATACCATAGATAGAGTTTGTCTATTTATTAGTGAATTCACTATGGTTTTTTATTCTGAGATCGCCATTTAATGTTGTTTGAACATTCCTTTTGGGTTTTCTTTGCTTGCTTAATTTCTCTGTGCAGGCAAACCATAATGAACCAAACCTTATCAAACACCTTTTATATCAAAAATCTTCAATGCTTACTATCTCTAATTAAATTTTATATTCTTCACCATATTTTACATTTTCATTTTTTTACTTACCTATTATTATAATATTGGTAAGCCATTTAAAACAATTTTTGTTAAAAAATGGATAAACAAATAATTTGCATCTGATTCTATACATTATTAGTTTATTGTGATTAATAGCAGGGAATCTCAAATAAGGAATAGTGGGTAGAGTTCTCCTCTAAATGCATTCTAATGATAGCTAGCTAATATTTGAAGGTATCATATCCAAATAATTGGCACTAAATTTTCCTCACATGAAATTTCCAAGGAGTTCCTCAAAGACATGTTTGAGCCAGGCATGGTGGTACATGCCTATCATTCCTGTGGCTTAGGAGGCTGAGGCAAGAAGATTGCAAGTTCAAAGCCAGCCTCAGCAATGGCAAAGCCACAAGCAACTCGGTGAGACCCTGTCTCTAAATAAAATACAAAATAGGGTTGGGGATATGGTTCAGGGGTGGAGTGCCCTTGAATTCAATCCCTGGCCCCACCCCCGCCAAAAAAAGATACGTTTGAAGGAAAAAGCCAGGATTAAAGATTGCCCATATTGATAAAACAAGTAAAATTCTACATAAAATAAATGAGGTTCAAAAACAAAAATTGAAATATGTCTCTCTCATTAATGTAAAATTATATTACCTTAATAATTTTCCTTTACTGTAGTCATGTTTATCTGTTTTAACTTTTAATTTCCAAATACCTCAAATGTCAAAAATGGTAGTATATTTCCACTACTTAATAAAAAATCTGGTGCCTAATTTTATATATATAAATATTTCTTTTCTTCCTACATATCTTCTTTGAAAGCAGAAATAAATGACATTTATAAAAATTCAGTTTTGTTAATAGTATCACGTAGGGAACATTTTAGTAATCATTATAAATTTAATAATTCAAGATTGTCAAATTATAGTATATCATGAAATTAAGTTATTTACTATCAGAGCAATTAAAACACACTATTTAGTCTAGTTTGTTGGCCATTAATTTTAATAACAATAAAATACTTTCAGAGGAAATGTAGAGATTTAAACTTGCTACACAACAAGCATGTTACCATTTAGACTAGAATGCAGAGAACCCCATTATATATAATTGAAACTTCAGCAGAAATTGAGGTAGGCAGACTGTAATTACTCAAATTAGAATTTAGACAGCAAACACATTTATACTGTATGTCTAATAAGCCAGGGTCATGACTATTTAAACATTCTGTACCACTCCTAGGATATTACCATAGCTCAATAAATGTGACAATAATAAGAGTTAGCATCTATGATCTTTTCTAAAATGATGTGAAATCATACCTACCATAAATCCAGCATGTATGTGTGCATATATCTGAAAGTGCATGTATTTGTTCATGGAACTCATTAAGAGTCTTAATCTGCATTTTACCTTATGTACACATATTTACATGCATATCTACATGTAGATATAATGCCTATGTCTATTTGTGCACATACCTGTGTGTAAGATTGAAGTAGACAACATAATTTTTTAAATGAAGTATTCTTAATGTAGGTATAAGGTCCCCATAATTTGGAATTAGAAATAAATAATTTAGTTTGTCTTGACTATCATGTTACCATTAACTCTTACTAAAATATGTCTGCAAGGTATATGATTGAAAGGAAAGCATATCAGGCTTACGGCCACTTTAATAAATAAATTACATAAAAATATGTGCATTTTAAGGCTGGTATCTTCTCTATTTTTTCTTTCTTTTATGAGAATAGTGAATTTGAGGTGATGTGGGTAGCATTCTTTGGTCTTAGTATATCTGGCATACTGTGGATGGGAAGAATACTCCCAAACTGTCAGTTTTTGACTAAGATATGAGGTGTTCACATAAAATGGAAGGGTCCATGTGTAAACCTACTCTTCAGATGTGTGCGTAGACTTACATAGATGAAACCAAGACATGCTGTCTGTTCTGAAATTGAAATTCAATTCTCACTCATATGGTCAAAGAATTTTTAGTTAAGGAACACACATACATATGGCTTTTTCTTTACTTCATATGGAGTTATATACAGAAGAAAATAAATGTTTTCTCTGCTTTTTGGAATTTAAACTCAAAAATGTTGAGGGCTATTTTCTCAAAGCATTTAATGAAAGAGAAAATTCACTACAAACTTTAACTCGTGGAAAACAATAATATAAGTGAAATTCAGGGGAGAAAGTCTTATGTTTATTTTAAAATATAATCAATTATTGGACCATGATTAAGTTTAGGCTAGATTGATGACTTATTTCAATTACTGAGATATAAAACCATAATGTTGAATACAGTTCTGGAAACTCTAATTACATTAGTATTAAAAATGCCACATTAATAGATGAGAAGATATGTTACATTAAAGGCCTTCTGTTATGTCCTTGGAGAGGTAAATAAAATTAATTACATTTCTACTGGGAGAAAGATTAATATGGTAGGAAATATGTGCAGAAAAATATCACTGAGTTTGGAGTGTTAGAGTAAAATTTTTTTTAAAAAAGAGAAACTTTCGAGTACTGTTGTCAGTAAGCTCATGTTTAACAGCAACTACTCCAAATATGGAAGAATAGATGGCAAAAATTTCCATCTGGGGTCCACATGATCACTTCATGTGTGGGCAAGAAAATTGTTTTCTTCTATTTCGAACACTCTTATTATCTTGGCTCCATGCTCTATGTTATTGTTAACTGTAAGTATTTTTGATTCATAATGTACTGTACATAAAATATACATCCTGAGGACCACATAGGAAATCCGTGGAAAATTTTATACAGCTTTTGAAGTCTATCCTTTGAAGAAACTCTAGTAATTGAAACAAACTTATTTATGAAAGAAGGGATTTTTTGGATTCTTCTATATTAGACATATTTAAAATGACTAAACATACCATTTCCTCACTGGAAGGCCAACAGTTTAAAAATATCTAAATATTTATTAGAACTGGTGTGCTGTCATATAGTAAATTAGACAAACTAAACAGTTAAATTTTATCCAATTAGTTGGCAATAAAGAAAGCCATTTTAGGCCGAATGGTTTTTTTTAAATGTGCATGTCATTTTTATGTAAGTTTTTATTATAGCTTTATATACATATTTGAGTATTTTTAAGCCAATTTGATTAGTGTAGCAGGTTTAAAATCTTTGTTTTCTGAGTAAAAGTTTAATACCATGGCTTGTTCTATACGATGAGGAGATTAAGTTGGAATGGGATGAATTCAGATAGATATTACATATATAAGTGTTCTATGTTCTTTTCTTCCAGACAGCAAAAAGACCTACCTGTATATTAGTCAGAAGGGTCTCTATGGAAGACAATCCATCAGGAAACAGAAAAGGAGATGGAAACCCTGGAGGTAGTGGTTGTCCATGCCCAGTTAGAGAAAGTTTGTCAAGGCTGTCTCTTGCGGTTGGTGTAGAAAGTGGGGTCTCATCTGTATGTGATTGAAACAAAAATATAGAACAAGTTACGCTTGTCTGTTTTTATTAGACCTCAGTAATGGCTTCCCTAGTGGTTTCCAGAACATTTATTGCAAATTGGTTCCTGCTATCAGGAGAAAATGCTTTCTGCTGAATTTTCTTTAATGAAAAAGCTGTGGAGATACAACAAGATAACATTAATGAGTAACTTTATAAGCCTTTTAAATGCAGTCTCTAATGAGACTGAGTTTACAGTGCCATAGAATCTTTTTAAAACAAATATTATCTCATATATAGTTGTGATAATATATTCAGGCTGACTTTATGGGCACCTTCCCAATTATCTCATTTTAGTTTGTTCTCTTTGGATTGACAATAGAATATTTCTAGAGCTTCATATAAGAGAAATGCTTTGTATATCAGGACAATTTCTTTCTCAATTAACCCTTCCTTTATATTAATGATTTGTTCAAATATATTCTTAAGAACCATAAAAGCAATATGCAATTAAAATATTTCATTTCACAAATCTAAAAGGACAAATGAGAGTCCAAATACATTCTTCCTATAGTATAACTGAATTGCTCACTATCATTGAAGCCAAAGATTTAATTCTTTTGAACTTGAACACCTTTTACCTTAATATTGAAAAATTATACCTTTTGTGTATGAACAAGGGGTCTGAAGAAAGAATAATAAAATACAACTTTCAAAACAATATTTAGAAAATCATATTTTATAACCCTAAGATAAATTAGTCTTTACTTCATTTATTGAATATTCTTCAACCTTTTAAGCAATTTAGAATAATAACCAAATACACATTTTTCACTCTCACGGTGAAATCTTTCTATTCAGTTCTTTGTTATTTGACAATTTTATAGTTCTTTATGAGATAGAGGCAAGTCATGGCATATTTTAGTTTATTTTAAACACAGGGAAAATTTTATTCAGTGCAAGATTCCTAATTTTCTAAATATTTTCATATTTCACCCCAGGAAAATTAATCAGAGCAATGTATTTGCACAGTTCTGATAGTATCTCTCAATTTTGTAAGTTGCTAAAAACTTCAGCATACTTGTCTTAGGCTTATAATTTGATTCCACTGTTCTCCTCCATCATTCTTTTATTTTTCATTACAACGTCTAACCACACAACACGTTTTCCAATTACCTCTCTCTGGGGCAGAAATATTATGGAAGCTGCCACACTTCTCTGTCTCTCACTAATGTCAGAACAAGTTAAATTCATTTCCTCACCTTTCCACATTTCTAGTTAATGAACCAAAGGGAAGAAATGTTGGGGAGGGAAGTACCAGATACAAGGCTTTGCTATTAACCATTCTCCTCTCACACTCACTCCCTTCTCTGAAGTTTCTCCTTCCATTCCCTCCTCTGTTAACTTACTAACAGATGATCTGAGGCAGCAGGTACTAGAAAAAGAAACAGAGAAAGCAACTAAAGTAGGACTCATGGTGTCATTATTTTTTGTATCACTCTTATCACCAGGGTTAAAGAAAGACTGCAGTGCAGGGGTAGAGCTACCGCATGGCTAATGTGAGCAAGGTGATCTTGGACACCATTTACCTAGCTATCATAAATTACTCCTACAGACCAAGGCTGCTAGTGTTTTCTCATAATAACCCTGAAAATGGGCTTGTTAAACATCTATGTGCATGTGAAATTGTTTAAGAATGGAGAGCAATATTTTTCGATCAGCATCACCTTACCTGTCACATGCTAAAGAAAATGTGGCTTAATAGATCATGGAGATAATAATTGCTTGTCTCTTAAAGAAATGCACAGAACCAGATGACCTCTCGGCTTTTCCATCTATGACTCCACATTTCTCAAAGACGTACCAAGACAAAAAGAAAAATGTTGCATACACATACATGTACACACATGTTTAATTCTAAATTCTATCATCCATGATTATTTAATTTAATTTCAGGCATTTGTGCTTAACCACAGTTGCCTGTTCTGTGAAGTAAATCTCTAAATCACTCATGATGCCTACTTTCAAGCAGCCAATATTTATCTCAAATCAACAATGTGCTAGATATTAGAGACAGAATGCAGAAAGCACAATCTGAAATCTTTCAGAGACTAAAATAGATCAGAGTGACTGACTCTACTTGTTGAATAGCTAATTCTTATATTCAGTAAAATTTTGCCTCCCATCATTATTCCTTTAGACACTGGTAATCCCAGCAAAGGATTAAATTATTCTGTATGTGTGAGTGTGCGTGCATGCATGCCTGCCTGCCTGCCTATTTTTTTTTTCTGCTATTACTTCAGTAATTGACGGCCATTTTGGTCATCAAGGTTCCAGTGATGTGAGAATGTGGACTATCATTTGGTATAAATTTATTTGAGTAGATTCATTCATTCATCATTTTACACAGTGGAGATACTACATAAGGTCACTTTCATTCAATGCATAGGAAAGAAACAATCAAATTAAGGTCAGAATTATTTTTAAAATGGCAGGGGAGCATGATTCCTAAGATCATTTTCTAAAAGAAGACAAATGAATCAAAGCTCAAACAAACCAAAGATATTTCTTTGGGTCATAATACACCATTATCTAAGAAAAAAATTATCATTTCATAGCAATTAATCAATATTGTAAAATTAAGAACATGTTCTTCTTTTTAAAAAAATGACCTGTGATATCCTAAATGTTCTATGATTAAAGGAAAAGTTTTGAGAGGCCAGAAAATGTAATGGTTTTGACATAATCTGTGACTTAAAGTATGTTTGATGATGAAGTAAAAACTCACAGGATACATATTTTGGTTTAAGAATTTCCAATTTTTAAAAAATTATCTTTTATAGAAAGTTGGCTCGTCAGGTGCAATGATTTTTGATTTTTGTTTTTAATTTCTCAAATAATTTTAAACTAAAGGAAAATTGCAAGACCTATATAAGTAACTCCTTTATATTTCTATAGTAGATCGAATGGTGACCATCAGAATATATGTACATGTGTAATTCTTAGAATCTGGTAGTATTATTTTATTTGGAATACTGGTTCATTCTAACTCCAGGCACAGGTATAATATAGAACCTTGAGATGAAGAGATTATGGAGGTTATCCTTACTCAGGATGGACCTTAAGTCTACTGACAAGTGTCCTTCGAAAACTAAGGCAGAAGAGGAGTTGAAAGAGACAGAGACCCAGAGAAAAGGAGTAGGTAAACTAAAGAAGAGTCAGAACTAGAATTTTACAATCACAAACAGGGAACGTAGAAAGCCATGAGACTCTAGAAGAGATTATGTATTGTCTAGACAAGTTGTTATTTTTAATTTCCAAAAAAGAGTAGTTATTCATGTTGAAGGATCCTGGTTTTCTAATCCAGTTTCAGGAACCTACAGTGGTTTTCTAAAGAAAATGGAGTTTGCACATATTATAATTAAATGATTTTATTTTATGACCAGAAAAATTACTGCTTAACATCTGGGATAATTATAATATTGACAATTATAGCAACATGTAAACAGAATAATTGACAAGGAAGAAGAAAGAGAAAAATATATATTTTAAAATTCTAAAATGAATAAAGGATAAAACATGATATTTCATCTTGCTCATCAACATATTTCCATGATTCTACTCATATTTTAAGTCACTTTTTAATAACTGACCATCAGTAAGATTGATGCCTCAGTAAGACAAGCTTTTTTCCCCCCTCCAATCTTATCACACATAACAATTTAGCAGGATATCCTAAGGAACAATGATGTTTAAAAAAATAATAGGCCTCTACTTTTAAAATGTTTTCTTTCCTGTGAATAAAATCTAACTCAGTTATTTTCATAACTGATCCCTTTGGGTTTGAATTATATATTCTTTCAAGTGTGTGTGTGTACAAACCTCTGATGTCTTATTACATCTTAAATTTTAGGCTTAAAAACAATCACTTTTAGAAACAAGGGGAGTCATATTTATTCATCTTGATATGATATAGAAATAGCATTATTGTTAAAATGGGAAAAAGAAATAGCATTATTGTTAAAATGGGAAAATCTCCATATTTTTTATGTTTACAAGAGATCTGAGAGTTTGCAAGAAAACTAGTTCTGAACTGCAAAATGAAAAATAAAGTTGACAAAAATTCTAAAGCATATGGCACTTTCCTTCAGAAGTGAAATATTTCTCTAATATAATTTTTTCTTTGTTTTTTAAAAAAATATTGATTGCAAACATATAGAAAGATACACTTGTTAGTGTTTTTGTAAACTGGTCAGTCAAATTATTCATTGGGAATAGAAACAGAGATAATCTAAAAATTCACAAATTGGTGCTTAGAAAAAAACACCTGAAAATTATTTTCAGGCATAACACACAAATGTTTAAACTAAGCACAATTATAGTTTCATTCCTGGCTTACTTCTAGTCTAGGCACACTGGGTTAATTATCAAGAGAAACTATTCATAATAGTTTCAGTCCTGGTTCTACCAAGTTCTACCAAGTTCTAGAAAATTTTAGAGCAGCAAAGCCATCTTAAAAAAATTGATTGAAATCTCACAGAATTATAGTTTAAATCCAGTTGGATTGTGTGTAAAAGTACTTTGTAAAATATAAAATGTTATATATAGTATGCATAAGTGAATTAAAACCAAATTGATTATTAATTTTACATTGGAAACTTGGCTTTAATGTGGCATGGAGGAAATCTGTTTTTATGCCCTACACCTATGATTTTTATATTATTTCTCTCTGATAAGGTTTGTGATGAAGGTATATCATGTTGGTAACAATTATTTCTCTGTGAAGACAAACCATGTTGGTAACAGAATTATCCTTCTGTGCATCAGTTACTTTACGTAAACCTGAGTTTATTTGTAGAATAGTTAAAATTAACTGTGAGAGAAATAAATTGAGAACAGGCAAAGGGTATGAACCAGTTCATAAATTTCTCTTTAGGCAGCACAACCTAGAGGATTTTTGTTTTGATTTACACAAAATGTAATCAGCCTAGGTTTCATAGAAATGGATTGTGTGAAA